CCTTGGAGTTGTGGAAGCCATTAGGGAAGAACTGTCGAATGTTCCGGTGGATCCCACAAACGGTTTCATACAGGGACAAGTTCTACGACTTCTACAAGAACATCGTGAAGATTTGGAAGAAGAACTGGAAGCTGTAACAACTGCAAGGATGGAAGAGGAAAGGCGAGTGTGCCAACTAAGGGTCTGTTCAGCACAAGCTGATGGTAGCGGTGGAGAAGAACAACTTCAAACTGTTACAGTCCCTCTCCACAAGGTGAGAATGGAAAAGGAAAAATGGTACGACTCGATGCTCGCCGAGTACAAATCCTTGACTGCAGAAACAAAAGCTATCCGACCAGTCAAAAGGTCCGAGATTGACCCTGAAGCCGAATTGGTGCCGGGGAAATTGGTCTGTGTGATCAAGGCTGGAGGGAGATACAAATGTCGCGCTGTGATCTGCGGCAACTTGGCATCACCGGAAGCGGATCCCATGCCTTCCTCTCTGCTGTATGCCAGTGGAGCGGACGGGGTTCTGATAAGGTGTGCATTGCGAAAGGCAGCTCATCACCAATGGGATGTAGCCACGACGGACATCAAGACCGCTTTTCTACTGGCTCCTCGGCCGGTGGAACAAGGTGCCAAAACCGTGGCGGTGGTTCCGTCCAGGATCATGACTGATTGGATGAGGTCTGGCTTGTCGACAAGGCCCTGTATGGGTTTCAATCCAGTCCTGCCCATTGGGCAGTGTACCGCGACCAAACAATGCGGCGGTTCACATGGCAGGGAGATGCAAGCCCGGGGGAGATGCAGAAGGAGTACAAGCTGGAACAAACGCCGGAACGAAATTTGTGGAGAATCCTGTGTAAAGGTGGTGACGCTCCGGGAGAAGAAGTACGTCCTGATGGATATCGGCAAGTGGGTTTGGTGGTCGTCTATGTGGACGATCTTATGGTTCTTGCGGAACCTCACGCCAAACACAGCTTCTTGAAGAGGCTGAAGGAAGAATGGACTTGCTCCACTCCTGAAGAAGTTGATCACAAAGGCTGGGTTCGATTTTGTGGGTTCGAGCTCCAATGGAGCGGTCAAGGGGATCACAAGAAGTTGAAGGTGGGACAGCAGTCCTACACTCGGGATCTGTTGAATCGACATCAAGTAGAACACCCAAGACCGGTTCCGATGACGAGAGCGGATGCCGAACTTCCGGAAGAAGAACAACCAGCACTTGAAAACATCCGACAAGCTCAAACGGTGGTGGGCGAGTTGTTGTGGTTGTCCATTGGTCCATAAGGACAAGGCCGGATATCAGTTTCGCCGTCAGCCAATTGGGAAGGCAGGTGAACAAACGGCCCAAATGGGTGGTGAAAACCGCACAACAGGTGTTTGGTTACCTGAAGGGAACCGAAACTCAACATCTCAGCTATGGGGTTTGCACAAGGGATGATCGTGGTCCCGAAGATGATCTGCCATTTCACCGGGAGATGCAGCAAGTCGAAATGTTCTCAGACATTTCATTTGCCCCTGCGGGCGAAAGATCACTGCAGGGTATCCTAGGTTTTTATGGTGGAGGGTTGGTTCAATGGGAAGCCAGCCGTCAAGCTTTTGTGGTGTTGAGCACCGCCGAAGGGGAACTGATGTCCTACTTGGAATCCATGGTCATGGGAGACTCTCTGGCGTCTCTCATAGAGGTCGTGGAAGGACGGAAAATCGGGCAGAAGATCATCTACGGAGACAACACGGCTGCAATAGCCATCTTGGAAAATCCTGACGGTCCGTGGAGGACTCGGCACTTGCGGTTGCGAGCAACAGCCCTAAGGGAAAGGTTAAAGGATGGTAGTTGGATCATCCGTCACCTTCCAGGGGTAAAACTTGTGGCCGATTTCCTGACGAAGATCATCGCTGTGAAGCCCAGTTGGGAAAGGTTCTGGAGGTTCGTCAATCACCAAGGTTCCGGGGTTCCAAATGAGGAAACATCAATGGGGTCCAACCATCGTGCAGAACAACCTCTGGGAGAAGAACAACGTCCAGAAGAACCAGACCAGGAGACTTCCTCCTGGGACAACTACCGAGACATCGCTGGTCGGTGCGTGTCAGTGGTGAAAAAGGTGGTTGGTCTGGCCGAGGAATATCCAGAACTAGCCGAATTCCGGCATGAAGCCCTGAGCACTGCCATTGGAAGGCTGGTGCAAGTACTGGCTGATGCGTATCGCGTCACTGAATCAGTGGTCAAGGATCGGTTCCAGTTGGAGTCGGTCTTACCGTTTTTGGAGAAGAAGAACATTCCTGGACAAGTTGAACACCCTGTAGAAGAAGAACCTAGGGGTATTCTAAAACGGGGTAATAGGTCCAAAAGGGGTAACCCAAAACCTAAACGGGTTTATTTTTGGGATGAAGATCCACCAGTTTTGAAAGTTTTGCGGGTACAAGATCACCACGGTCATGTTGCCCAATTGCACAGTTATGAAAAAGAAGAACCCATCCCTAAGACCATCCTGGGTGATGGACAAGAGAAACATTGGGACTTGGATTGTGCCAGGTCCGATCGAAAAGAACATCGAGCTGCCGAAGTTGTACCAAGGTCGGGTTCCACAGAACCGTGGGATCTGGTTGCAACTTGGGGAATTGGGTTTTTGGGGAATTCTAATGGGATAGGTAAAGGGAAAAACCATCCTGAAACCTCAAAGGGGATAGCTCCGCAACCAACGGGATTTAAGTGTTTTTTCCGTTAGGGAATTGGGGTTGTCCGCAGCAATTTATTTTTCCAAAAGTTTTGGGCTCAAAAGCGTCCTCGTCTGCCTAGCTGCACCAGTAACAGCTATGGACGGTGAAGATGTTTCGCAAGGCGTCTTCGGTCAGTTTTTCGGCATACTTTATGCCATGATGGTCATCCTGGTGTGGGAAGTCTTCCGATGGCTTATGAGCCATTTGACACTCCTGGTGGTTCCTCAGTTCAATCGACAAATGGTGGAACAAGCTGAACTGATGGTGAAGTTGGCCCTGAAAGATCGAGAAAAAGATGTACGTGGGGGAGAAGGTCATTCCACGGCGGCGCCAACTGTAGAAAAAGATGAACATCAGGAAGAAGAACCACGTCCGGGAGAAGATCATCGAAAGGAAAAAAGAAGAAAAACCGAAGAGAGGGATGCTGATCGCGCCCATGACAAAAGGGAAAGAGGAAGAGACCGTCGGAGACGGGGTGAAACAGGGCGATCTAGGTCGCCACACAGGGAAAAGGAATCGACAACAAGGCGATCGGAGAGTGAAAAAAGCCCTGGCCCTTCTACAGCCGAATCGCGAGGTTCGGAAAGGGTCCCAAAGGGACCGATAGCTCCGCTGCCAGAGGGTATGAAAGCCCCTGGGAGACCGCCACCGAAAAAACCGTCGATGCCAACTCCCAAGGAAGAGGAAAAAGTACCCACCGATGATGAAGAGTGGGGAAAATGGAAGGAACAGAGAGAAGGAGGAAAAATGGCTGATTACCTTGCAAGGATGAGATCAGTCTATGGAAAGGCAATACCTGCAGAGCCAAAGGAAAAACCTGCAGAAACGACCCGAGCCTCCTCCTCTAAGGCAGCTCCTAAGGCAGCGGCTTACTATGAAGTGGATGGAGGAGAATGGTATTGGTGGGATGGTGCCTGGGGTGACAAATGGGAACCGAAAAAGAAAAAGAAGAAGAAGAACAAATACACCGAGGCTGAATGGGAACAGTGGTACAAGGAGCATCCGGAGGAGGACACTGAGTCTTCCCAGACACCAAGAAGGCCAGCAGAACCGGAGACTCCGCCACTGGCCCAAAGACCAAGGATTCGTCCGGGACAAGATTTAATTCGACGTCCTGAAGACCCAGCCAGCTGGACAGTCTACATGCCCGAGGTGGTCATGCGTGAGGTGGAATATATCATCTCAGGAGAGAGGGCACAGCATGGATGACAAAGCCGCCGGCCGTAACAGGCTTTGAAGAACAGGGTCAGGCCATTGACATGTGGCATGTTCCAGCTCCTGGGGACTATGGACGAATCATCACAAGAATCCATTACAGATGGAGACAGAATTCATTTCATCCAGATCACCCCACTTTACCGAAAAAGGTCGACCAGTTGGATCCTTACCGGGTCACATTTTTGTGGAATACCCTGAACAGCAACGAGCGAAAAATAATCTTGGATTTTGACTGGGAGACCAAGTGGGTCGAAGACAAGTGGGTGGGATACACCGTTTTCCTTGTCAAACAAGACCCAAGAGATGTGGCGAAAAGCTCACCCAAAAGGAAATAGGTCACACGGAAAAGTACATCGGTGGCTGGAGAAAAAGATCAATAAGACCCAAGGAAAAGATCATTAGCTGCCGGTGGAAAAGACCAATACAGGGAAAAGCTCATCAGCTGCTGGACCCAAAGAACACCGTTGGGCGCTCTTCGAGGACAGCGCTGGTGAGAGAGGGAATTCAAAACCTACGAAGTTAGGGCTGTAGTTTTTCAATTTTTGGAGTCAACCCGAAGTGGAACTCCACGCGACCTTTGGATGAAGGGGGAACCAACACCAGCCTGGGACTATGGCACACGAGGGTCTTCGCCCTTCTGGCTGGGGGAAGGGCGAGTTCCCAGAGGAAACGTGGCCACCCCTGAAGCTTTTGTTTTTGGTGTTGGGGAACCTGGATTCCTGCAAGCAGGAAGGGGGAGTGCGGTTTGGGAAACATGCACAGAGTACCACTGCACCCCCACTAAGGTCTTTTTAAAGTTTTCACAGTCGTTGAGACGTCCTCCGACTGTTGCAATTTGGCTCAAGGGCCAATCAACTGACTGGCTCAAGATCACCGAGCCCAATCTGGAGTAAAAAGGTGCACCTGCATCAACCTCTTGGTGGGGTTCTCCGGGAAGGGTCTCGGTCATAGTCTGAAACCCGTGGATATAATTTGATGATCATTTGACAAATTTAACAATTTAACTGTGAGTCAAAATGTACAACTGAACATCAATGAAGTGAAGTGAGTAGCGTGGAGCCGTGCATAGCCGTGCGCTGTCGCAGGTCGAGTGCAATGCGCGCGCCTGGGGGAGAAGTCGGGCCAGGTCGGGTATGTTGCAGTGAGCGTATCGAAGTGTAGTGGAGGTTGATTACTGTAATTAGTCATATTGAATCCATAGATATCCATACTATTTCTATCAAGGTGGGATGATTGGTGGTTGAAGATGATATTTTATCCGTCTAATCCTATCAAAGTGGGATGATTGGTGGTTGAAGATGGTATTTTATCCGTCGGATCGTGTATTTTTTAACGGAATCGGATTCTGGCCTCTCAAGCAGCCAAGAGATGTCCTACTGTTAGCACTGCTTACTACCGTTTGGGGCCCCTAAGTAGGCCCCATACACCCTATCCCGGATACAAACAGCATCTCCCGAAGCACTTCGCTGGTTGATGGTTTCAACTATGGGATATGACTGGGATGACATTTCATGGGATATGACTGGGATGATAATGCTAAGCATATTTTGAACTTGGGGGGTGGCGGTGGCTCAACCACCACCCGTTTGCGATGGAGTTGATCCCATCAAGTGGACACCACCAATTTGATCTGATGATCTGCTACGACAATAAACAAAAACGCGTGGTGATTGATGAATAAGTGAAGTCTCAGTCAACATTTAACTCCAGATGTACAAAATATTATATACTGTATGATGTCCAGACGTGTACTTAGGATCCAACTACGAAGGGATTAGGTCCAACCTACAAACATTAGCCGAGGAAAACGGATCTAGCCAGCATTTTTTTTTGGGGTATGTTGTGACTCTCAGTGTATTCAAGACAGTCGGTTTTTTAGATATGAAAGACATAGATTGGATGTGTCAAGACCATGACATAGATTACACTTACCCTCTGGTTATGACTAACAGTTCGCCATGGTATAGATGGCCCATAGAAATAGATGGTTTACCGAACTCAAACATGGTGATTTTCCATGGCTATGTTAGTCATAACCAGAGGGTATATACTTTTTTCTTTTGGGGGGGATGAATAATATCCAGAAACAGGCGAGCAACATTCATCGATGTCTCTTTACCACTTTCGTGATTTTTCTAGAGGGGTTCACCTTTTCATACAATGAATCTGGGTAAATTATAACGACCTCACTGCGACCTCACTGGAATCATGGTTAATAAGAGGAATCATCCCAAAATGGCCTTATTTCAGGAAAGTGAATTACTATAATTTGCTCAGAATGAATAGGAGGTTTCCAGAAATGGGGGTACCCCTAAATCTCCATAGATGGATTTTCCATGAAATCAACCATCCATTCATAGGGGGTACACCCTATGACTTCGGAAACCTCCACAATCGGTAAGTGACGAGCCTTACCTTCCCAGGTGTTGGCCACCGGGGGGGATGACAAGCGGGTGAACATTTGGAAGGCGCGGTGGGCTGCGTCCGCAGTCGGCAGCAGTCATGAATTCCCCATGTTCTGTACATGTTTTTTTCTTGATCTGTTGTTCATTTTATTTTTTACACATTTTTTTTGGTTGCATGTTCTTGAAAAAAGTTTTTGCATGTTCTTGACCTGAAAATGTGCAGAGATGAAAGAGCTTTGGAAGAAACCACCCGTGTTCATGGCCCTGACAGCACCATGGTCGAGCATGTAAATAGCGTCATCATTTACATGGAACGATCCATTTACTACTTGTTCTTATGATGTGGGGCCCCCAAACAATAGCTAAGTTGGTTTATAACTCCAATCACTATGGTTTATGGTACTTATAACTACGGTAACGACATTTAAATATGTGGAGGGCGGGCCAGACCGCGAGGCCCCGGAGGTAGTATGAAATACTAGTTCGTATATTTAAATGTAGTTACCGTGCATTTAAATGAATTGGATTCCGTATGTTTAAATGGCCGGGCGGGCCAAGGAAAACCTTCCCGGAGGTAGTCTAAAATACCTGTTCGTATATTTAAAAATCCGTATATCTAAATGTAGTTACCGTATACAGTAGTTACTGGGGCTTATAAACCAACTTATAACTGGGGGGCCCCACATTGTTTGATGTTTTGATATGTTTTGTTTAAACCTTGCATCAAATCACTGGTTTTTCAGGATGCTGAAGGAACCAGAAAACCAGGCTTTACCAGCTGATGGTCGTAGCTGTTCCCTGCAACCAATCCATTGATTGGATGTTAGTCAAGAGTCAAGATCCCAGTTTTTATGAACTACGTGCTAAGCGCATTTCCCATGAATTCCCATTTCTCTGCATATTTTCTTAAATTGTTCTCATGAAATCCACTATTCATTGCAAAAACTCTCCATTTTCGATGGTCGAATCCTTTTGTTAGTTGCCGATGATCTCCCCCGACTCTCCCGAAATCCTATAAAATTTCCCAATCATATAGCCATCTTGAGATCATTTCTCCATATAATTCCCATGGAGATAATCACTGGTTAGTCACCAAAACCATCAGATTATTACTATATAAGTTTTCAAAACTGAACGGATGATAATAACTGATATAGCTGATAATAAATCCATCAGATCCTTTTTTTCAAAGGTGGGCAAGGCCAATGCCATGATGAGCCTCACTGGGCACACCAGCGCGGCCTGGGGGCCCATTTATTTCGTCCTTCGTCGCAGCAGGGCAAGTTGGGCTACTAAAACGCTTCAGGTTGATGGATGTATCGTGGATGTATATATATATATATGTATATATCCATAGAATCATATATATGTATATATCACATATTTATATATATATATACATACATACACATGGAATATATATTATATGTACATACATGAATATATGTATATAGACAGACAGACAGACAGATAGATAGATAGATAGATGGATGGATGGATATATCTATATGGATATATATATATATGGATTGGATATATATATGGATACATATATATGTGGATATATATATATATATACAAACATATTATATATAGATATAGAATGGGCTAGCGCCCAGGTGCCGCCCTTGTAATTGGAGGGGGGGTACTGCAGAGAGAGAGAGGGAGACGGACAGCAAGACAGACATATGGCCGTTTGCTTCTCAAGCAGCGAGAAGTTGCACCCTGCGGCCAAGTTGCACCCTGCGGCCTGCGTTTGAGGCCTGGCAAACGGCAGCCTTGAACGCCTATAAGAGGCCCTTATAGCCAGTGCTGCGGCCGGGGGGTGCCTTCAGCCATTGCTGTGGCCTTGTGGTGGCTTTTGCGTGCGGGAGTGGCGCGTGTTGGGATTGTTGGGGTACCTTTTCCCTGCGGAGCTGGGCGGACGTGTGGAGGGTTTGGAGTGTTTGAGGCTTGGCAAACGGCAGACTTGAACGCCTATAAGAAGCCATTGCTGTGGCCGGGGGGTGCCCTTGAGCCATTGCTGTGGCCTTGTGGTGGCTGTTGCCTGTGGGCGTGGCGCGTGTTGAGCTTGTTGGGGCACCTTTTGCCTGCGGAGTTGGGCGGACTTGTGGAGGATTTGGAGGGTTTGGAGCGTTTGAGGCCTGGCAAACGGCAGCCTTAAATGCCTATAAGCAGCCATTGCTGCGACCGTGGGGTGCCCTTGAGCCATTGCTGTGGCCTTGAACGCCTATAAGAGACCCTTATAGCCATTGCTGCGGCCGGGGGGTGCCCTTCAGCCATTGCTGTGGCCTTGTGGTGGCTTTTGCGTGCGGGAGTGGCGCGTGTTGGGCTTGTTGGGGTACCTTTTCCCTGCGGAGCTGGGCGGACTTTTGGAGCGTTTGGAGGGTTTGAGGCCTGGCAAACGGCAGCCTTGAACGCCTATAAGAAGCCATTGCTGCGGCCGGGGGGTGCCCTTCAGCCATTGCTGTGGCCTTGTGGTGGCTTGTGCGTGCGGGAGTGGCGCGTGTTGGGCTTGTTGGGGTACCTTGTCCCTGCGGAGCTGGGCGGACTTTTGGAGGGTTTGGAGCGTTTGAGGCCTGGCAAACGGCAGCCTTGAACGCCTATAAGAGGCCCTTATAGCCAGTGCTGCGGCCGGGGGGTGCCCTTCAGCCATTGCTGTGGCCTTGTGGTGGCTTTTGCGTGCGGGAGTGGCGCGTGTTGGGATTGTTGGGGTACCTTTTCCCTGCGGAGCTGGGCGGACTTTTGGAGGGTTTGGAGGGTTTGAGGCCTGGCAAACGGCAGACTTGAACGCCTATAAGAAGCCATTGCTGCGGCCGGGGGGTGCCCTTGAGCCATTGCTGTGGCCTTGTGGTGGCTGTTGCCTGCGGGCGTGGCGCGTGTTGGGGGACTTTTGAGCGTTTGGAGGGTTTGAGGCCTGGCAAACGGCAGCCTTGAAGGCCTATAAGAAGCCATTGCTGCGGCCGGGGGGTGCCCTTCAGCCATTGCTGTGGCCTTGTGGTGGCTTGCGTGTTGGGCTTGTTGGGGTACCTTGTCCCTGCGGAGCTGGGCGGACTTTTGGAGGGTTTGGAGCGTTTGAGGCCTGGCAAACGGCAGCCTTGAACGCCTATAAGAGGCCCTTATAGCCAGTGCTGCGGCCGGGGGGTGCCCTTCAGCCATTGCTGTGGCCTTGTGGTGGCTTTTGCGTGCGGGAGTGGCGCGTGTTGGGATTGTTGGGGTACCTTTTCCCTGCGGAGCTGGGCGGACTTTTGGAGGGTTTAGAGGGTTTGAGGCCTGGCAAACGGCAGACTTGAACGCCTATAAGAAGCCATTGCTGCGGCCGGGGGGTGCCCTTGAGCCATTGCTGTGGCCTTGTGGTGGCTGTTGCCTGCGGGCGTGGCGCGTGTTGGGCTTGTTGGGGTACCTTTTCCCTGCGGAGCTGGGCGGACTTTTGGAGCGTTTGGAGGGTTTGAGGCCTGGCAAACGGCAGCCTTGAACGCCTATAAGAAGCCATTGCTGCGGCCGGAAGGGGCCCTTGAGCCATTGCTGGGGCCTTGTGGTGGCTTTTGCGTGCGGGAGTGGCGCGTGTTGGGCTTGTTGGGGTACCTTGTCCCTGCGGAGCTGGGCGGACGTTTGGAGGGTTTGGAGCGTTTGAGGCCTGGCAAACGGCAGCCTTGAACGCCTATAAGAGGCCCTTATAGCCATGGCTGCGGCCGGGGGGTGCCCTTCAGCCATTGCTGTGGCCTTGTGGTGGCTTTTGCGTGCGGGAGTGGCGCGTGTTGGGATTGTTGGGGTACCTTTTCCCTGCGGAGCTGGGCGGACGTTTGGAGGGTTTGGAGGGTTTGAGGCCTGGCAAACGGCAGACTTGAACGCCTATAAGAAGCCAGTGCTGCGGCCGTGGGGTGCCCTTGAGCCATTGCTGTGGCCTTGTGGTGGCTGTTGCGTGCGGGCGTGGTGCGTGTGAGCTGGGCGGACTTTTGGAGCGTTTGGAGGGTTTGAGGCCTGGCAAACGGCAGCCTTGAACGCCTATAAGAAGCCATTGCTGCGGCCGGGGTGTGCCCTTCAGCCGTTGCTGTGGCCTTGTGGTGGCTTGTGCGTGCGGGAGTGGCGCGTGTTGGGCTTGTTGGGGTACCTTTTCCCTGCGGAGCTGGGCGGACTTTTGGAGCGTTTGGAGGGTTTGAGGCCTCACAAACGGCAGCCTTGAACGCCTATAAGAAGCCATTGCTGCGGCCGGGGGCTGCCCTTCAGCCATTGCTGTGGCCTTTGTGTGGCTTGTGCGTGCGGGAGTGGCGCGTGTTGGGCTTGTTGGGGCACCTTGTCCCTGCGGAGATGGGCGGACTTTTGGAGGGTTTGAGGCGTGGCAAACGGCAGCCTTGAACGCCTATAAGAGGCCCTTATAGCCATGGCTGCGGCCGGGGGGTGCCCTTCAGCCATTGCTGTGGCCTTGTGGTGGCTTTTGCGTGCGGGAGTGGCGCGTGTTGGGATTGTTGGGGTACCTTTTCCCTGCGGAGCTGGGCGGACTTTTGTAGGGTTTGGAGGGTTTGAGGCCTGGCAAACGGCAGACTTGAACGCCTAAATGTGGCCATTGCTGCGGCCGGGGGGTGCCCTTGAGCCATTGCTGTGGCCTTGTGGTGGCTGTTGCCTGCGGGCGTGGCGCGTGTTCAGCTTGTTGGGGCACCTTTTGCCTGCGGAGTTGTACGGACTTGTGGAGGATTTGGAGGGCTTGGAGCGGGCAAACGGCAGCCTTAAATGCCTATAAGCAGCCATTGCTGCGACCGCGGGGTGCCCTTGAGCCATTGCTGTGGCCTTGTGGTGGCTTTTGCCTGCGGGCGTGGCGCGTGTTGGGCTTGTTGGGGTACCGTTTCCCTGCGGAGTTGGGCAAACTTTGGAGGAGTTGGAAGGTTTGGAGGGTTTGAGGCCTGGCAAACGGCAGCCTTGAACGCCTAGAAAAGAAGCCATTGCTGCGGCCGTGGGGTGCTCTTGAGCCATTGCTGTGGCCTTGTGGTGGCTTTTGCCTGCAGCGTTGGGCGTGGCAAGGGTTCAAGAAAGACAGGATCCACACCTCCGGTGGTCCCAGGCGCCGCCCCGGCCTTGGCGAAGGCCGGGGTCGGCGGATATTATATGGATATGTATGTATGTATATATATATAGAATCTACAGTGGAGTGAAAGTAAAGCAACTTGTAACAGGGGTGTTCCAACCTGTCTCGATGGATCCCCAGGGATCCCCAGTCACTCACCGAACAAGGTAAGGCTCACGAGCTCGGGTGTCCCTTGGATACAAAGTCTCCAGTCACGACTGGATGCTTTGATGACCAAAGATGAGGATATACTATATTAATTTACTGTATATATATATATGTGTACTCTTGTTGTGCATCGTACTAAGAGGATGTTGCAGAGGTGGAAGTATGCGGTGCCATTTTGGCTTAAGCTGTCCGGGGAGTTCAGAGCTTATCCTGACTCCCTGAGTCGGCTTGCTTTTTCACCAATACACCGGGGAGGTTAATACTCGTTGTGTGAATTTTGGTTATATTAAAAAAAAGGGGGAAGGAAGCCCCAATGTCCGGCCCTAAGTCGACAAATGACCAAGGGCTGAGTACTTTGCCCTCAACTTTCAAGGGGAACTCCTTCAAGATGAAGGCGCAACCACCGGTGGACCGTAAGGACACTGAGTTGGGAAGCGCACTTGGAGGTGACCACCCGGAAAGGGGGCCAATGACACGTGGGCAGTCCATTGTCTCGGATAGAGGCAGGGACCCTGGTCTGATGTGTGGAGCCTGGTCCCACCTTAGCAGTCCGGGGCCTCGTGATGATGCCACAAGCGGGTTAGTGGCAGCAGGTGCCTGGGCCGCCAGACTCGAGGTGGCAAACTTGCTGGAGAGCGGCTGTCCTCCAGAGCAGTTGCTGGCACTCATCAGGAGAGGTGAGGAGAGTGACATCCCTCTGAACCTTGACTGGGATGCCAAGGAGACGAGAGGCCACAGTGACAGAGACGCCGACCTGCGATCGAACGCTTCCTTAGCCGAATGCACCGCCTCTGAGAGATTTAGGTCTCCTCGACACCCATCCAAAGGGGCATCAGCTGTCGATAGCACACGAGAGCTTGGTGACCTCTTTGAGGGCGAAAGCATGGAGGATATCGTCGCGGAGCAAGCGGCCATCTTGTCCGAAATAGCCAAGAGCAAGAACGATCCGCCTTGGATGACGGCAGGCCCCTCCGAGGTGGGAGGTGCCAACGCAAGCAGCAAGGGCGCTCGAGGGAATACCGTCCTCCAGATGGCCGCTACAGAGCCTACGTTCCGGAAGAAATCGGCTCCACCTCCGGAAGGCCTCAAGGCAGCCGCGAAGGAAGGGCCAAAGAGGATCTATGAGCCTGAAATGGACTCCGAAGAGCTACCATCCTTCAGAAGGAAGGCAATGCCGCCGCCGCCAGGGGTGGTGCCAGAGCCTACAAAAGGACCGGGGCAACGTCCTGCGCAGCATCCCGGTGGTGGATCTGCTTTCCATTCACTGGAGGCTCGCGAGAGGGATGACCTATACAGAGGTTCGTCAAGTTGGCCATCGAGATCTACGAAGGTCTTGAAGTTGGCATCACCATGGACCTGGAGAAGTACGTACGCGTGCAAAAAGGGATAGACAAGGAGAAGTTCATGTTGCACGCGTCTCCGAATAGAGCTTCGACTGGCCTGAGGTATGTGAGGGTGATGAAAGGGATAGTTGAATGGATTGAGTCATTCGATCCAGTCCCTAAAGACGACAAGCTGCCTCCGCTCGAGAGGCTGAGGCTGGTGGAGTACATTGAGCTCCTGGTGCAAAAAGGTGTAGGCTATAACACGCCTCAGACGCTCCTGTTCGCCATTGACTACTTCAGCAAGGCGTTTGAGTTCGACCCCACAGGGAAGGAATGGAACCGCGCTAAGAGGCTGGCCGTCAAGTACAAGAAGTCGAAACCAGGGCTAGCCAGCAGAGCTCCTCTGTTTGGGAAGGCCACCTTGGCAGCTCTGGAGATGATAGTCCTTGACGACTTCTCCAGCGTCCCCCAGAGGATTGCGGCCGGCAAGCTCAGACTTTGCTGCCAAGCATCCATCCGCTACGATGATCTGGTCCACACCCCGCTGAAGAGCCTGGAATGGGTCAGGCGTCGCGGAGGGACAAAGGTCGTCGGGGTGAGGGCGAAGACGACCCAGGGGAAGAACAAAGCTCGCCCCTGGGTGGCGTCCCTGATGGCGGTTAGCCCAGACAGGGACAGCTGGCTAGCGGTGCTCGTGGACATGGTGTTGGTCGTACATGGAATGTTCTGGATGGAAGACGACCACTTCGGGAAGGAGACCACCCGAGACGGAGAGGGCTTTACCAGGCTTCCCGCAAGGCTGGAGACCGACGTCTTCATGGTCAAGGAGGCGCTCAAGGCGTTCAAGAGCAGCGGAGGAGACCCTGGGATGACCGACCTAGGAGCTGGATCTCCTACGTTGGCATGGTGGCAAGGCCACCTTGACCACACTGATGCAGCACCTTGAGCTGGATCCCAAGATGATCAGACTGGCTGGTGATTGGTCCGCAAAGGAAGACACCATGTTCACTCTCAATAAGCTTGGGAAAGCGCTGCAAAACCCTGGCGCCACCTATGATGTGCTGAGCTGGGAGTCCTTCATTTCCAAGGAAGAAGAGGACAAGCTTACCAGGGAGGGCAAGCTGCCCAAGCATGGCCAGACCGAGCTCATCCTGGGCAAGGACTCCAAGGTGGTGGCTCGAGATCGCATGGACGAATCCTGTGCCGGAGTTTCAAAGGTGAACGAGATGGAGACTCTTCGAGCCCGCCTCGACCTTAGAGCCCGGGCTGCCGAAATGATCGACGTGGCGAGGTATACCACCATGAGATCCTTGTCTGACCGTGACTATTCCAAGCTGAACACAAGCTTGGCGGAGGGCATGAGGGCACCCACCCTGAACGAGCTTCGCCGCTTCGACAGGGAGTTGCAGGTGACAATCTTCAGGCATCTGAGCCGAGGTCAGGGAAACCTTGAGGATGCCATCCAATACTATGTGGAGAACGACGGAGATACTCTGTGGCGATTGCTGGACCCGGTGCTTGCCAGATCAGGGCAGTGAGACCTCGGCGGTCAAGAGGAAGGCAGAGTCTTCTGACTTACCTCCGTCAGCCAAGGCCGCCTCTTCCAAGCCCATGACAATGTGTCTGATGTGCAAAAAGAAGCACTTGCCGTTGTGCCCTTTGCCAGATGATTTCAGGCAGAAGCAGAGAGATAAGAAGAAGGCCAAGAGGGCCGAGAAGCGCGCGGCCTCTGCCAAAGCAAAAGCGGCGGCATAGGGCAAAGGCATCCCCAGATCCGGGCCTGCTAGGAAAAGGGGTGAGCCGTGCTCAGTTGCAGGCAAGCGCAGTTTTCATGTTTCACTACCTCATCCCCCGAGTGATTCCGGGAGCCCCCAAAAATTGGGGAGGGTAAGGGCAATTAATTCGTCTCTAGGTGAATCTACCCAAACCCACGAAGTGGGAGTTTCTACCAGTAGGATTTTTCCTCCTTGGGATTTGTTAAGGGGAAGGTGCGTTTTCAAAGATAGGGGAGTCCTCCTTGTTGAAGATGAGCTTAGTGACCTTTCCCACTATGCACCGAATTGTGCCACTTTCAGCAGGGCCAGAGAGATCCCAATAAGAGGGGTGAAACACTGTCCCCGGCCTCTCAGGAGCGAGTCCCATCCTTGCGGCATCCCTTCAGAGCTGGAGGGCATGTCCAAGAGGGGGCGAAAGCGCCTGATTGATGACACCGAGATGGCCGACCTGTCGGCAAACCGGTGTTGGGAAAGGGCCGAAGCTGGAAAGGCATTTACATTGGAACACCCGGGAAACTCCTTAGCTCAGTTTTTACCTAGTTGGGAACGCCTCATGTCACGCCCCGATGTGCATGTGATTAAGTACCACACTTGTAGATTCGATGGCAGTAGGAGGAGGAAGTTCCAAATGTTGATGACGAATAGGGCTTGTTTTGTTGATTTCATAGGTAAGCTTTGCGAAGGACATCTTTGCATGAGGACTGGAGGCCCCCATTTAAAATGGAGACCGACGGTCCACAATGGCCAGGTACTTCAGTTCCAAACCGGCGACGAGAGAGAGTACCCAGTCGGGTTTTGCAAGGAGTACGCGAAGGCGGCTGGACTGGTTTTGGGGTCCGGAGGGTCTTTTTTGGAGGTCTTCTCAGGCCCAAATGCACCACTGAGCGTGGAGGTAGGAGCCTTGTTAGGTGCCCCGGTTCCAGGGTACAAGCTGGAGAACAAGGGGAAAGGCGACAAAGTCGAGCTCCAAAACCTGTCGCAGCTGTTGGGCTCACATCCGCTTGTGAGTCAGCAAGCGAGTAGCTTCAGTGCCAGGGCCGCGCCTACGATCTCTGTACAGGAGTCATTTTACAGAGACGCAGCATTGAATGCAGCAAGGCAGCCAGGCTACGGTAAAAGGACGCAGCTGATCCAAGACGGCTTGCAGGATCCATCGAAACACATGGAGGAAGCTTTGAAACTGAGTCACCCGTTCACTTTGGAGAACGTCCTCAAGCCCGACCACAGGGAGGCACTTGACAGTATGCCAGCACTTGAAACGAACGCCCTGCGAGATCGGATGAAAACCCTGGCGGAATGGAAGGTTTTGGCAACTTCGAGTGCGACGGCCGCTCTTCAATCTGAACACGAGAAGCTGGCCTGCGAGTGTGCCGTCAGGTTGGGCCGCAAGTCCGCAAGCCAAGGACCGCACTCATGGAGTTTCTTGGAACGAGATATTCCCTTGAAGATACCGCGGTACCTAAACTGTGTCTGACTGGCATGCCAATTGTAGGCAAAGCCTTGGAGTCACCGTTCTTTCACTCTTACCAAGTGCCTGCGACCATCACAGTTTCTGAACTTTTGAGCTCAGCCCCACGCCGAAGAGCCGGCACTCTTAAAAGGGTGAAGCTTATGGGTCGCACAGGAGGAGCTGAGATGGCAAAGGCAATTTGGCAGAAGACTATGAAAGAGGTGAAAGCCGGGACAATGTCGGGGCCATACACCTTGGAAGAGATGGAGAAGAAGCATGGCAGGTATCTTAACCTTGTACCAAGCTTTGGGCTGAAACAAGGAGACAAGTTCAGGAGGATAGATGACCATTCCGCCTCCCACAACAACCTGGCCGCCGAGAGGACTCAGCAGATCCAGATGGCCATGGTGGATTACCTCATGTCAATGGTTGCCGCTATGGGGAAGGCCTTCAATGGTGCCCTGTGGATTGGCACCGAAGACATGGCAGGCGCATACCGCCAAGTCCCGCTGACCGACAGTCAGGTCAGGATTTCTGTTACCGCAGTGTACAATCCAGAGTCTGAATCAGTCGAGCTGTTCGAGATCTATGGCCAGCCGTTTGGTGCAGCACACGCCGTACCGAATTTCTACCGTGTAGCCGAATGGGCATGCAGACTCATGATCAGGGCCTTCACCGCCATTATTGATCACTTCTTTGACGACTACTTCGCCGTCCTTCGGCCAGGAGAAGCCGAGTGCACTATGTTCTGCATTAAAGAAGCCTTCAAGCTGATAGGCTTGGTGCTCGACGACGAGAAGTCACAGCCCCCAGGGGATTTTTCCATGGTCCTGGGAGTAGCCTTTATTTAATACAGCTTCATTGCAGAGCCAAAAGCTTCTCCTGGTTGAGCCAAAGCCAACCAGAGTCACAAACCTCTGTCAGATTATCGACAGAGTGATGGCGGAAGACTGCTTACCTCCAAGCCTTGCAGCTAGTCTCCTTGGGAAATTCGGCTTCCTTTGCAGCACAATGTTTGGCAAGGTAGGCAGATGTTGCACCGGGGCCGTTAGAGCTCGCCAATATGGCCATCCTAACGAGACACACCTCACAGCCGAGATCTGCACATCGCTCCAGCTTATGAAGCTTTTCACGACCACTGCGCCCAAGAGAGAATTGAAGCTGTATGATCGTGAACGACCACTCATTCTTTACACGGACGCCTCTGATGTACCCAATAGAACCGAAGGTCGTTGGGTTGTAGGAGCTGTGTTGATCGATCCGGATACCATGACGATTTCCTACACATCATGGATTGTACCGGAAACTGTTGTCAACACCTGGCTTCCGAAACAGACTTACATGAATCAGCTGGAGCTCTTTGCTTGTCCCTTGGCTCTCAACACCTGGTCTCAAGTTCTTCACGATAGACAAGTCCTGCTCTTCATCGACAACGATGCTGCCGCAGCGTCCCTTGTGCGAGGCTACAGCCCCCGCCAAGACAGCTGCGCACTGGTGGGAGATTTCTGGTTAGCAGCTTCCTCTGCTAGATTGTCAATTTACATTGACAGGGTGGAGAGCAAATCCAATCCAGCTGATGGGCCAAGCCGCCTGGATTTCAATTTAATGCGCCATTTAAAAGCGCAATGGATTTCACCGAATTCAACTTCCGTTTTCACTAGGCCTTTTTCATGGTTCGTAGCGCTGTGATGCCCTTCACATCACAGTCTCATCACCGTTGTGTGCACAACCACATCACAGGGAGGAGAAAGAAAGCCCACAACTTTTACATTGGGAAAACGGGCTTCCCTTCCTGTGAAAAAGCGGTGAGGTGTCTAGCGTCAGTTGTAGCCGGGCACTTCGCTCATGCCTGAGTTGCTACATGGACGCCAAAGACCGAGGGTGACGCTGTCCCAACGAACAAAAGTGAGCGAGCTGATTGAGCTTGTCAATCTGCACCTTTTGGAGCATACTGAAACCTAGCCATATCCTCTTGTTGTGCATCGTACTAAGAGGATGTTGCAGAGGTGGAAGTATGCGGTGCCATTTTGGCTTAAGCTGTCCGGGGAGTTCAGAGCTTATCCTGACTCCCTGAGTCGGCTTGCTTTTTCACCACACCCACCCACCCCAGGAGAGGGAAAACGGGCTTCCCTTCCTGTGAAAAAGCGGTGAGGTGTCTAGCGTCAGTTGTAGCCGGGCACTTCGCTCATGCCTGAGTTGCTACATGGACGCCAAAGACCGAGGGTGACGCTGTCCCAACGAACAAAAGTGAGCGAGCTGATTGAGCTTGTCAATCTGCACCTTTTGGAGCATACTGAAACCTAGCCATATCCATATATATCCATATGTATATATATATATATATCTATCTATCTATGTGTAGAATGTATAGGCATCAGCCAGGTCCAGGCCTCAAAATTTAGGCCTCTGACTGGACTCTTGGAGTCAAGCCATCTCCCGTAGGTGGAGTGCTTGGTCTTTGACAAGCAGGAGGAGGTTCTGATTGTGGGCTGTGGTGGTGGATCCATGTCCCTCCGCAGAAAAAGATGGGACGATGATGGACGATGATGGACGATGATGGACGATGGGCGGATGTCAAGATGTAGACCCATGGAGGACGAAGAAAAAAATGCAATGGTTCTGAATGGCTATGAATGAATATGGATGGTTATTAATTGTTATGAATGGATATTAATAGATGAGCACTGAACATGCACAAAATCTCTGGTCCCCTGGTCCTTTGACTTTGACCCAACATACCATATTAATGCAAGGGCCTAGAATCAGTGTAGAAGTGGAACCTACCACAAGTTGACGGAGATCGTCAAGTATCGCAGATCTGTCAAAGATCAATGACTGGTACAGTTGTCACCGCCAGGATTCTTCTCGAAATGCCATTGATTGCTGTAGTCAGTGAGTGGTTGGATCAGGTTTGAAACTTTTACTACACGTAGGATATCATTATGGTCCATGTCAGTTTGTTGTGTGGTAGTCAAGATCCATTGACCCACAGAATTTCCCTATAGATTCTGTTATTTCCAGAACTTGTACTGCAACACATCAAGGATCACCGTAGCTCCCAATTGGTACCACAGAACAAAGTTGTATGGTGGTTATTTCTGGAAATAATTTTCTGAAGTTATTTCTAGACCCATTGATCTACCCGATACCCCGCCAAAATATGCTTATTTCCAAAACTACCATCTTATCCACAGAACACATTTCCAGAAAATTCACATTGATTTGGACCACGCAGCAAATTTGTAGATCATGTTCCCACATCTTGGTTTTCCGCCAACATCTTCAATACTCATCCAGTTCTGACGTCTCAGCCGAGGCAATGCTGGAACCTGGAATACAGGAGCTGCCACAACTGGGATAGCTGCATCGCGGATTGGACGACTTCACGAATACAGGGGTTCGACAGCAAAACTGAATAAAACTGAAGACTTAGCCAAATGTCGATTTATCCCATTTGATCCCACGTCCAAATCATTTAAAATCTATGGCCGTATGATGCTATATGAAGGTGACAATTTGGTGAAGTTGGGGACCCAGTCGGTTGATCCGATCGCAGGAAGATGGCGGGGTCCTTGGCGGGGCATCGCAATGCCTGCACTTGCGTGGAGTGGTGGCCCCAGCGAAGTTCCTGCCGTGATGCCCCGGAAGTTTCCGCTTTTTTCGCTTCTTTGAGTCCGAAAGGGCTGGATGACTCCGGAGGTTTATGGATTTTCAACCTTCACAGAATTGGATGATATTGGATGATGGGAACATGTCAAAGGCCCAATTAGAGCCCAATTTGATGCTATTCTTACCAGGCTTTCCTGTAGATGTTCCGGATTTTCAACCTCGCCATGTCGATTTTTGGTCGCCCAGGTTCCACCCCTACGGGGAATTCTTCGCGTCGGGCTCCAACGACACCAATCTGCCCGGTGATCCCAGTGAGCTCAGATAGCAGCCACAAATCTAGTAAAACAATGTCAGAAACATATATATACTGTAAATAAATATATATATATATTATACATATATATATATAAATAAAAGCTAAATTGATGGATTCCCCATTTATGGTAAAGTCGAGCAAAAAACTCCGCTTTTTGCGATCCAAAAAAGATGACTTTTCATGATGTACCAGCAAGAACAAAAAAACCAGGTGTTTCTTCGTGAAATCTCATGAAATCCTACGAAATCCACGGTGGGATTTGCAGCATCTGCCCCAGGAAGATTTGGGATCTCAGAAGGAAGTCCTGTATCCAGACATATCCAGGTGGGGAAATCTGCCCGGAGAGGATGAGTTTGGACATGTTTGGACCAATTTTCCCATGACTTCCTGTGGAAAAAAATCTGCAGACCCAAAAAATCCTCAGGAAAAATGCTATGGAAAGCAGTTGACAAATTGATTTCAATTGTCTCCATTTTTCGCAAATTTGGTTTTGACCTGGATGGTGAGTGAGATATGAGTCTCAGCTGTTTTAATTGGGCCTTTGCCGATGGCCAGTTGTTTTTGTCCGATCCATGAATGTTCACAGAGATTTCCATGGTCAGAAACTGCAATTGCAGTTTTTTTCAGTAGGCTGATCAGCCTAGGAAGCCTAGTGTTTGCAGTTTGCAACGGTTGATTGAATACTTCAGCCCTGTTCTTGCATCATCTTGCATCCAAATATCATAGGCCAAACCAAATCGTTCTTTGCTCTTTAACTTTTCAGATTTTTCAGGGCTGAACTTGAAGCTAAACAGCAACATCATTAGCACGGATGAGCCACCAGCAGTCACTATAGATATTCGCCAATGGCGCTGGTATGTGAGCAATCTCATGGCGGCCAGCAACCCCCCTAAAACAACACTACTTGGAGCATCAAGGTGGGTTGATACAACAACCAAGGGAATTTCAATTCATCTACAAAATCCAACAAACATGATCATGTAACATGTAACTGTTTAAAAAGAAGGCCCTCCAAAAACCTTTAGATGAAGGGATCATCTGAAGGAAACCTCTATTTTTGATGGTGCAACCCGTGTTTACGATTTTGATGGTCTCTTACATCAATCCACTGATCTTATCAGGCAATATCCATCAATATCCCATCATCTCCGAGTATATCGACAGTATGTTCCCTTTTTAAATTGTGGTATTCAACAAAAACTCATGATAAATCATGCTGGCCTTTAGTAATCTAACACTTTGTGATGGAAGATCAATGAACATCACCATTGTAAATATTTTTAAGACGTAAATCATCTGTTTTCTTGGGCCGTCTGTTCTATTGCAAACTGTTTACCGCCAGGCCACTCTGCTGCCATCAGCAGCATCCGCTTCAGCCCACACGGGCGCTGGGTGGCCAGTGGGGGCTTGGACAACCAGGTGCGCCGCGGCCTGGGCTTCACATAGGACTCCATGGCTTCACATGGGACACCTGGACAAGACACAGGAAAACATCATCGAAGTATCCGGTTTTGAGTCCATGAAGACCACAGGGGAACATATTTTATGAGCCATTCTGAAAGGACCCCTGTAAGTTGACGGGAATGTCAGTGAAAGGGTAAAGTCAAACCATCCTGAATGTGTATTTTTGGCCGCTCTGCAGGCTGCTGGTCACAAAGGCAGGGTTTATGATATGGAGTCTCCTGAAGATTTGGTACTGAGTGGGTTCTCCAAGCCTTCTAAACCCTTATACATAGATGATATATATATGAATATGTATGTATATAATACACTAATAGACACTGTATATATATATGATATATGATATAGTAGTGTGTATATATATATAATATATATATATACATAATTTAATATATAGTATAACAGGCACAACTCCAAGGTTCCCAGACTTTAGTTTAGGTGAAGATCTGGGACTTGACTGCGGGAAAGCAGATGAAAGACCTGGACCTTCACAAGGCCTGGACCCTAGTGTTTCGGTGCCAATGGAAGCACTCCACAAAACAGTGCATGCACACATTTTTGGGCATCAAAATTATTCAAATGACATATTTAAGTGACATTTCCCGGGTTGATCAAATGCACTTTCCAAACTCAAAATGTCGAAATCGTCCAAAGTCAAAATCCTAAATCTTGATATATTCCATTCATCTAAGTTGCATATCTCATGTGACTACTATTACCCCCTTTTTTTCCAAAAACGGAACAGAAGCGAAGCACACTGGTCATGCGCTCGCTCGCCGCGGAGTCCACAAAAGGTCAGTGGCTTCAACTTTCACAGATCGTTGCTATCGATTCCGCGGCTTATCCTTTTCCCATTTGTTGGTTGATTAATAGAGGGGCTTGAAACTACCCCTTTAACAACAGGTAAATGATGATAGATGGTATACCAAACCGGCCCGAACCTATTTTTACCAAGAGGACATTATTACATCTTATTACATGATATAATATTTTAAAAGGTTATCATTTTTCAGTTTGATGATTTTTTCCATTAAAATCATCCAAGACAGCAAAGTTATCATCACCTCCCAGCGACGTCATCGGCCTGGCCATTCAGGCTGCGGTGACCTCGCTAGCGTTTCACCCCAAGGAGTACCTGTTGGTTTCTGGTGCCCGGATGGGATGGGCAACGGCGATGGGCTTGCAAAAAAAACATGAAATATAGATAACTTAAATAGCCGAGGGGGAACATCTTATGTGTATGTACATATGTTTACACACATGTATATATATATATATCCGTAAATATATGTTTATACATATTTTTTCATCTGACTGCACAAAGAAGTGGGATCCCACTGCGGCAGCTTGCGGGCTCTAATTCTGGTCTTTGCCGAAGCCCTCATTTGCTCACAAAGTCTGCACCAATATATATATATATATATGTATATATATATACATATATATATGTATATATATATACATATTATATATATATATACGTATATATACATATATATATATATATGTATGTATATATTTATATATTATGTATATATATATATAATATGTATTAAAAAAACCATATAATGTGGTCAACCGGATGAAACAACCTGCTCCAGAAGTCCCCTCGTCAAAACAATGTACGTCACTGGATGCTGCAGGCTCGGCGGACCGGACCGTGATCTTGTGGAGTCTGGAAAGCTTCACGAGCGTACCTTGAGCTGCGAAGTGGCGCTGCCAGGGAATTTTCCTTGGTGAATGGATGGTGAATGGATGGTGAATGGATGGTGAATGGATGGCGAATGGATGGTGAGTGATGGCGAATGATCTGGATAAATTATGTTTTGTGTTTGAACGGCCTCACTGCGGCGTCTCTGGAAAAATGGTTATAGGTCACTGTCCCGACGCGGCGCGTTGTTTTCAGCTTTCAGCGTGAATTTGAAAAAAACAACTCCAGATAGATGGTGAAACACGATGAATTATTGGCTCGTTTTTGTTGATGATGTTTTGCCGTTGATAAAATCGTTGTTGGCTAACGTAGTGGTTTTGACACGATCAAGCTCTTGGATTTACAGAGACAACACAACCGATTCTCATTCTGGGGAATTGGTTCTTCAGATACCTGGGAATATCCGATATATGACATGAATATTACCGTAAGATGAACGTGATTGTAAGCAAGCTAGATGAATGTTCGTCATATCCTCAATTTAAGTGTGCTTCAACTGGAATGAATTTCACGTCACCAAGGCCATCACCAGAGCGCTGGAAAAAACCATGGTTCCCGGTCACGATTTTCGAAGCAATCGATGCCAGCAATTTAAGATCCCACAACAGTAGTAAGATGTAGGAAGATGGTAACCCCAGAGCTAAAGCCAATAGTAAGCCATCCTCAATGTCGCCAGGGGGCATAAACTCTCCAAAATTGATCAAAATTGGAGGTTTATGGCAGCCAGGGTTTACCACATTCACGTTTTTCTTTAAGTTTTTTGTTTCGTTTGGGCCACCGCTTTTGGGGCCAACCCAGGGGTGCTCAGGTGGGCCTGTCCACTGCAGGCATGACTGCAGTCCAGGCGATGGCTGGGTTCATCGGCCATCTGAGAGGATGGGGTGAAACTTCGCTTGGTTCATGATGGTTCATGCTTTTTGTGTTTGACACATTTTGACAGCTAAACATGATATATCATGATGATATTCTGGGGTATGACTCATTTTCAGGCAAAGCCATCCAAGATTGCCTCTCTCCCAACATTAGATACCCCAAAAAATGGCGCCGGTGATGGTGATGAGGGGCTTAGCCACCCACGGATTCCAAGTCGATTGGCCTCAAGGGAGGTTGCTCAGTCGGCCTGGCGGCTTCGCCCCAGGCGGTGAAGTTTTATCCGGAAGATCAGGCATGGGAGCTGGGTATCATCTCCTGTTGGGATTCTCTGGGAAAGTTAGTAGAAGATTTTCAGAAAAACATTGGGGAAATGATGGAAACGGCTGGAAATCGCACGAGTTTTTGCGCAAAAAATGAACGTCTCATGAGAATCTGATTCTATAGGATCTTCCGGATTTGCGATGATGACCTGTGGGAGCGTGTATTAAAATGTAATCTACTAGGTAATTATTATGTACTCGTCACTTGTCACCCAGAGTATCATGCACATGCTTTGGGCACATGTTTGATTTGCCACTGCACTGACAGGGGATGTTTGATAGACCATCCCAAAACGGTAGGCTTATGGCAGCCAGGGTGAATCCCACATTAGCCAACACATTTTTACTAGGCTTGGAGTATCGGAATGTTTTGTACAAGACGGAAGCAGTTGGCCAAATTGCATGGCCATAAGACAGCTGGTAGACGAAGTGATCATTTACATTCTTTTTTTTTGGGGGTTGCTATTACATGCTATTACTATTATACATGATTTTTTTGGGGGGAGGGTGGCTCAACCACCAACTAACCACTAAGTTCGCTTTTTCAGATGTACCCCTTGGCCTGTGCCTGAAGCCTTTTTCAGTTCGACATTTCCCTCACGTGTTCTCGGGCATCCTATCGCCTACGCCATGGCGCCAGTTGCAGTGGTTGACAAGTCTTCAAGGCAGGTGATGCAGCACTTCGGTTTTTGTGTGTGCTAAAGGTCCCAATTTGATTGGATGGATCCAATTTTGTGTCTTTTTTGGATTAGCGGTTGACGTCTTTTTGGGATGCTAAAAATCAACATGGACCGTGTCAGAACCTTGGGGATCACCATGCTCAACATGTTCAACCCCACCTGATGCCCATGATACTAACAGTGATCAGCTCTTTGTGGGCCTACTGGTCTAGAAATTGCCATCCGGGATGCCCTCGATATTATGGCCATGGGATTTTCCCAGAAATTTCAGAACCAGGTTGTCAAGTTGTTGGTGATAAATTATCACTGACAATCACTGATAATAATGACATTTATTATGGTGTTATGTCAATTTTCATGTCATGAATGTCAATTTTTCCCAGTTTATTGCCATTAAAGAAAAACAAAAAACATATGGTCCTGTATGATTGTTGGTCCGACAAATAGGCTCATGATCCCCATTGACTTTCCGATTTTCAAGGGCCAGGGGATCAACCACCAGTTTTATTGGTACATATTGGCTATGTACCCAATCAATCCCAATCATATTTTCTATTCTGTAAAGGTTCATCCCTGATTTTCTTCCTATGGTATTGCCAGTCCTTCATAGATTAATCCATTCGATTCCTATGAAAATGGGGATGGATGTCGGTTGAAGATGGTATATCCCACCTAACATGTTCCCATTCTATTCCTATATGGAGGTTTCCTAAAATGGGAGGATCCCCAAATCATCCATTTTATTTTCGACTTTTCCATCATAAACCATGCAGCTATAAGGGCACCACCTTGACGTAGGAAACCTCCATATTTTCACCATTGCTAGGCCATCTTTATCTCAAGGGGAGGTCGAGGTGATTTTGAAGCAAGCAGGGATCGAGGAGCTGATGGAACTGAGCTGAGAGGGTGACGTCAAAAAGGAGACTTATGGATGAAGATGAAGATGTTCTATAATAAACTTCGTAAATACTTATACTTAATTTATATAAATATATAAATTATATATATATATGTATATAAGCAACATTATTTATCGAAGGAAGTTTAGAAGTCAAACTTCCGACAATATGGACAGATGAAAAGCAGAGCAGGGCAGAGGCAGAGAGAAGAGGAAGATTAGAAGAGAGAAGATCAGAAGAGAAAGAGTAAGAGGACAGAAGATACAGATGCGCGAAAAGTAGGAAAGTCGCGAAGCACTGTGTTTTTCCAATGATTTGGGGCTCCGGAGGGTCGAA